CCACCACACACACACACACACACACACACACACACACACACACACACACACACACACACACACACACACATTCGCAGACGCAGCCGACCTCGCGTATCCCGCTGCATTCGGAAAGGCATAGTCCCATGCGCGGATTGTTGTGGCACCGACACACACGGCAGAAGGCAGCGTGATAATAGATGTCAGGGCCAAATCCCTGATTTCCCCCTACTGTCTCAATTAGATGGAATGACGCGCGATTAAGCGCGATTAACCGCGAAGTCTTGCAGTTTTACTCGTGGAGAACGGACTGCGACATTCGTTTTCGCAATGGCGGAATCTGTCGCGAGATTTCTATGGAATCTTCAAGACATTAGGATTGCACTCTTAGAAATACAAAATTTCGAATTTGTATGTGAACGTCGAAATTATAAAAATTACTCAATGTTTTTAATTGAATTGATAATTATCTTTTTATTAATATCTTCATTGTCTTCAGATTTCCCACAAAAACATTTGTAATTAAAACCTGTAATTAGTTATTTCAATTAAACTTTACTCGTAATATATGAGTTCAAATACATATGGACCAGAGATGCGAGATGCAAGGATTACGCTTCGCGTCGGATCTCAAAGGGTTTAAAGCGTTCATTAAGAACGCGGTATCTAACGGATGACGTCGGACGCTACATGATACGCCTGAAAAGCAGAAAACCATAGATTCAACATACGGTCTCTCGTACAATCCGCCAAGTAAAGTCTTGGAAAGAACAGAAAAGGGCCTTTCCCCTGTACCGTGATTTCCGCTCCCAGGTGCACGCTTATTAACGCCAACGAGATAGCCGTCATTCATTAATTTCCCTCACCCGACTCGGTAGCTGTAGAACTCTCCACGGTGCCCTTTCTTCCTCTGCCTCTTCGAGGCCTACAGGCCTCGCACTGCATAGCATTGGGCCGCAACACGATGCTGTGCTACGCTGTGGTTGCGACAGAAGGAAAGAATAGACCTTAAGGCGATTCCACGCGGTTCCTTTCAAGACTATCGATGAATAATTCAAGATGAATGAATTCACCAGATACATGAGACTCTGTGAATCTTCTCTTTTTTAATATTTAACAGCTGAAATATATTTATCTCCGATATAAAAAAAATTATCATATCATTTAGTAACCTGAAGAATATTAATATCGTTTAGGAAACGCTTTAAAATTTTCAAAATGTCTTATATTAGTAATTTTATATATGCATACACATAATTTTCATAATGGCACTCTGATATCTGTTTGTAAAGTAATATATTATTATTTAAATATTTTTATATATGAATTAGCTACGCCATATGTATTCGTATCAATAAATATTGGCAGACGGGAGTTTCTTTACAATCGCGTCTTCTTTAACTGAAAAAAAGGAGAACCGGAAATGGCGGAAAAAAGTAGAGAGAAGGAGAAAGACAGAAAGAGATTATATGATTCGAAAACGAGAGAATCGCAATGACAATGACGAACAAGGGACAAAGACAAAAGTTCGGACCGTAGTGTTCGGCCGCGAGGCACACGCTCATTAGAAATAATAATAATTGCCGCGAGACGTGGGTAATGAATGTTGCCGCCGCCGTCGTGTAGTCCGATGTTCGATGCCGCTAACAGGAGAGTAACTTAACCGCGACGCGCGGACAACCGGCAATTAGGTGTAAATGGAATACACTCTACACTCGTGGGACGTGCTGATAATAACGACGTCCTTCGCCCTCGTCGTCAATCGCGAATCTCTCCATCCACTCTCGAAAAACGAAATCCATCTCTCGTCAAAAACGCGTCTAGTCAGCATTCGAAGACCATTTCGAGACCAAAATCCTGGTTATAGCATCAGTTCTTATAAAATTTTTATATAATGTGTAACCTATTATATCGTTTATATTGCAACAAATAACACGAAATATAAATATGCATCAAATATATATATAATAGTCGCAAAGTGAATTTCGAATCTATCATTCAGTTTGTCTGAAAGTGATTTCAAAAAAAATGTGACAATATGGTACCGAAGTTTAAAAACTGTTACAAAGGTGATTGAACTTTCTTTTGAATGAATTTGAATCATGATCTTAGATTGTATCGCAAAGTTTCTGAGTCTACGTCGGCAAACTCTCGCAATCTTAATCTTTTTCCGCTTCAGATTGTTACCATGTTTTAAGTCCGATATTTTAAAACTTTTTGGAAACGTATTTATTATTTTTCCATAATGAAATATGTCGAGATTCTTAGGTATTTCATAGGTCGGGAAGATACTTGGAAATGTTAGGGATTCCAGGAATTTCATACGACAATAGATTAATATCTGGGAATGAAATCAATAGAAAGATAGAGGCTTTAGAGCAACCAAGGACAAGAAATTGCAGCTATTAATTAAAAAATATTTAAATAATTTAAAAATAAAATAATACAATAAAATACAATGAAATTGTCAAGCACGACATAAAACACGCATCTCATTAAGTTAGACAGATGTCTCGAGAAAACGTATGTCTTTTTCAAACGAGAGACAACGACGTTAGCAAAGCAAGTAACAGTAGCACAATCTTAATTGCATCTAATAACGATTACATCGTTAATAGTAGCGCCGCACGATAACAACGATAATAATAAACGCAAAAAAAAAGAGAGGAGAATTGAAGAAAAGACACGGGGGAAATGTACAAATGCAGTCTTTAAAGAGCTGGAAGTGAAGAACCCCCCTTGAACGCGAAGGAAAAGGGAGAGAGAGGAGGGAACAGGTTCCCGGCATGGTTACCGCGTATTCACCGAGCTGAAAACCTTGGGCCCCATCTAGAACGACAGAGGGAAAAAGAGGAAGAGGAGAACAGCTGAAAGCAAGAAAGAAAAAAGAAAGAAAGGGAGAGAAAGAGGGGCAAGAAGGGACAGGATATTTGCTCATCTCGCTCCAGTCGAGATGCCGCGGTCGCGGTTCTCGCGGACACATGATAAAGGTCGAGAAAGCAAAGGTGAGTTCACACGATGCGTATATCGCGCCCAGGGAATCCTGACGTCCACCGAGAGGACTCGCGCGCGCGCGCGCACGCGCACGCGCGCGTGCCCAGTGGGTCCTTGGTCCTTGAACTCGACGTGCGACCGCTCGTCACGAAAACGGTACCTTTTTCTTGGTCCAGCGTGCCGCGCGAGCTTCTGCCAGGTAGAAACTACCTGGAAACTGGTTTCCAAAAATTCGAGGGAAAAATCACCTTCACATTCCTACGGATTTAAGGATCCGTTCTCGATGAAAATGTCTGTGGAAATAATAAGACGTTTATTCATGACAATGATGTAACTTAATTTTTCATAAATATCATTATTATACACGAAGGATATTTTATTGTTCAAATTTATTTTTATTTTTTTTTTCGCCAGTGAGGATGCATATGTTCTTTTTCTTTTTAGAGAAAAGGAAGTCGAGGAAATGGAGACGAATGTTTTATGCACGACGAGTTAATTTTTCGCGCCTCGTTGAATTTTTCGAAGAGGAAGGGAAGAACGTGCGTGGCTCATATTTTAGAGCGACATGAAGCGGCTATCGAGCATCAGTACATTTCCGTGATACATTTATCTATTCTGTATTTTGCACTTATAAGGCATGTAAAAGAATCTCCAGATATATTTAAACGTTTTTACAGTAGTTCTAACAAAAATTTACAAATTTGAAATATGCGCTGTAAAGCACAGAAATAAAGCGTTTATTACTCGTCTGAAAATTTATATCGATATATATAAAATTTATCGATTTTATCGATCTCTTGAACGTGATTTCTCCAATCGCATTCTTCATCAAGAAAATCTCGACGCGCCAAATCGAGACGCAAAAAACATACCGATGTGGAAATTCTAGAGCGTACGAGGGAAACGCCATACGCACCTGGCATCCCCTCCTCTTCGCAGCCCTCCGTCCGTCCGGCAAGATGGCGGAGTGGTGGGGCCCCGAGCGAGTACCTCATCGTTCGCGTCAGTCGTTTTCCGAGGCCTAGTCGGTGTATCGTGTGTGTTGCGAGTCTCCTTTCAGAATCGTATTCGCATCGCGAAACAGGAGAAAGGAAGACGAAAAAGGGTGACGGAAAGGACGCGTCGTTTTGGAGGCCGCTTCAGGCTTTCCATTCTCGATTCGAATTTCAGTGCGCATTTTTGACGAAAAGCGAGTTCGAGGGTTGATCGATCGATCGATCTCTCGAGAGAATAAGTGCGATCCTGTGGGAGAAGAGACGAACGCCGGATCGGTCGGCGCGTCGCTCCTGTGCGCAGCTCGGGCCCCCGGACAGGCCCGAAACGAAAATTCACGCGGTACGACGGTCAGTTGCAGAGCCGACCGCGGACGGGATCGTGACAACGTGGGACGTCATCGAGGGATTCGACACTGCGCCACGGACGGAAGGTATTAGCCGAGGAGAAGAGAAAGACGCGAGCGTTTTCAGGTTTTCTAGATACATACCGATCTCGCGATCGATACGGCGAGAAGGAAGCGCGAAAATTAGCATCGGTCGATCCAACGACGGCGCGAAACAAATGCGCGTTGATCGCACATACCTTACAGACTCAGAGATGTAAAATTTCGATCGTAACGAAACAATAACGATGCGATGTAAACAGAGCACGTGATCTCGGAAATAGCGCGTGTTCTCTCCCGAAGTTTCTCGATTGTTACCGAAGCCCGAGGAAATTCGGAAATCGTTTGGGGTTGATCATCGAATGGAATTCCGTGAGATCGAGGCACAGCTGATGTAGCGCACACGACACACGAGTAAATTGGAAATTAAACTCGCCGGTAAACCGGTCGGTCTTTGATAGTCAGTGGCGTCGAAAATGATATTTGAATCGTTCGGACTTGTTTCAAAGCAAACTCGATGTTCACTCGCGTTTATTCGTTTGATCCAGCTAGATTCGGTAACAAGGAAATCTCGAAACGACCAAGAACGAACGTAATAAACTTTTCTCTTCATTAGCTAAAAAGAAACGAGATATGTATTCGAGCGAGTATTAAAAGGGATTTATT